GTTAGTTGTGCCTTCTTCATAGATTCTGCAGCTTGTCCCAATACTTCTGTTGTCACTGAGCTGAAGAAGCTTCTTGTCCAAGAAGTGAAACATTTTCAGAGAAAAACCAGAAAGCGCAGAGGCCTCTTGAAGAAAGCACCCTTTGAGTGTCGAAGACTGCAGGCTCCTTCCTCCTCCGCTGTTGCAAAAAAGTTCAAGAGGCTAATTGGGATCCCCACCAGGCCTCCCCACCTTCTGCCTCTCTGCAGTGATGACTTAAAACACTCCAGCTGAAAATCCAGGCGACTTTAAAGTACTTTAATCTGAGATGGGCCATCACTCAGTGCTATTCAGCTCTATCAACAGCTGATGTCATCGGTTCTTAGCAGGAAAGACCTGAGCCATATCTTAGTCTAGCTTGGGGGAAGCTAAACTATGCAGGCCTGCTAGAACCCAAGAGGAAAGGCAATATTTCAGAGGTTACGTTTTAAAAATAGGATAACGGGGCTGTCTTGGAGCAGGTCAATCTGTTGGTTGGTTTTTTGTTTTAAAACACCCAGGATTAATCCTTCGCGGCGATAGGATTCTCCGAGACAAACAGAAATAGAAAGCTGTGAAATTGCACCAAGAATAACTCTGAAAATGAAAATGTAAATTCAGACGTGGAGGGGAGAAATTACAACTTTTGCTTTTTTTAATGCAGTTTTTTTTTAAGTGCGTGTTTTGGGCAAAAGATAAAGAGTATATTTGTGTGTTGAGGAGGGTGGACTTACTTTCTGGCTTGGAATCCACGGCTGCATGACGCATATCCTTGAGCTGAAGCTGAACTCGGTGTAGCCGCTGCTCTGCGTGAAAAAGCTGCGGGAAGGGGGGGGGAGAAAATAAGCACACCGGGGGGGGGGGTTATTCCTCCACCCCGATTCTTTGGAAATAAGATAGCCTCATGCCAAACAAAGAGGAAACCTCTGTGAAAGAACTGCTAAATAGATGGAGGACACATACAAAGGGCTCTCTGTTCCCTCCCAGGAATCAGGAGACATTGAAAGGGCAGAATTGGCAAGACAAACTGTCCACCTGTTGTGCCAACTCTGCGCAACAGCTTTTCTCTCTCTCTCTCTCTCTCTCTCTTTAAATGGACCTGGTTAACATCGTGTTGGCGAAGCACCGTGGAGAAAGCCTTCCTAGAGAGGTCAAGCGATGAGCCTGTCACCTCAAAAGGCTGGCAAGCAAGACCCCTGCTCCCCAAGGTCTGGTATGAGGAAGCAGGGAGGGAGTTCAAGTGAACCCCGATTTCTCCACGAATAAAGATTCTTGGGAGGTTTAGAACCAGTTGGGGGGTGGGGGGGAAGGGAATATAGGTAGTCCTCGGCTTATGACCACAATTGAGCCCAAAAATGTCTGTTGCTAAGTGAAACAGTGGTTAAGTGAGTTTTGTTCTATTTTACGACCTTCTTTGCTGCAGTTATTAAGTTCGCATGGTTGTTAAGTGAGTTTGTTTGTCAGAAGGTCATAAATGGGAATCAGGTGATTCCCCCGGGACTTGGCAACTGTCACAACTGTGAGTCCCTTGCCAAGCGTCTGAATTTTGTTCACGTGATGCCGCCAACGGTTGGAGGTGTGGAAAAACGGCCAGAAAGTCACTTTTTTTCAGGGCCGTCGTCATGTCCGTCACTAAAGGAACTGTTGCAAGTGGAGAACATTGAACCAATAAGAACGCCAGCGTCTCTGGGGAAAACAAACAAAAACAACCACCAAGAATTCCTTGACCAGGGAGAGCCTTACCTGGTTTTTCTGCTCTTGCTTCTGCTGGGTGAGGTTTTCCTCCCGCTCTTTCTCCACCCGGAGCTGCCGGGCCATTTCAAGCATCCGCTGATGGTTCTGCACCGTCTCCACCTTTGGAGCAAGGGGACAAGCCAAGTGGGTGAGCTGAGAAAGCCATCCGAGGGATCGGGTGTCTCACAGGTTCGCGCCATCCTTCCTTCCTGTCCTCAAGACTTCGAGGAGCTGTCGTCTCCTCTTCCTCCTCCTCCTCCTCCCTGTCGTTGGGCTCAAGTTCTTCAGAAGTTCTGGAGCCCTGCCTGGAGAAGGTTGGCTTTTCCTCCTGGGAGACATCCGATGCCTCCTCCAGACTCACAGCTTGTAAACCTTAATGCTTGTTTGCATTCCCGCAGGCCGAGGGGTGGGGGGGGGACTCGGGCCACCCTACTTAGCCGCCTACTTACTCACCCGCTTCCTCAGCCGTTCTACTCGCTTCACCAGCTGATCCTTTTCCTCTTCCATTGCGGTGATATCCTAAGTAGTGACACAAGACACAAATCGGGTGGCATATTAGAAGCGTGGAGGAACCATTCGGCCCAGCAAATCAAAAATCCCCACAAAGAGAACGTCAGCGAATTCAGCTCAGGATTCTAATTATATTACTTTGGGTGCGTTAATTAGAATAAACTCACTGTGTTCAAAGGAGGAATTATTATTATTTTTTTATTATTATTTTTATTTTATTTAAGGTACATACAATTAATCTTCCATTTAATGGGTGTGTCGTCCGAGTACAAATACCTTGTGCAGTAACAATTAAAACTTACATCCACGTTCATTACTTTGGTATTAATTCTTTAATCTTATTAATATACATAATATCTCCATTACTGTAACACTCCTTAACGTTTAATTCTATAAACCTATTTTCTATATTTCACTAATCTATTGGCTATTTCTAGCTTTCGTATTTTTTTCTCTATCACCGATAAAATAGTTCCCGTATCTTATAATATTCAGGAGGAATTAGGTCTTATGTCATGCCAGGGCGTCCAACTTTGGCAACTTTTAAGATCTGTGATCCCAGAATTCCCTAGCCAGTCATGCTAGATGAGGAATTCTGAGACTGGAAGTCCACAGCTCTTAAAAGTTGCCACGGCTGGACACGCCTGCTTTACAGAATTTGTAGAGGTGAAGAAATGGCATCAAGATTTATGGCTTATAAATTCTCGGGGTCTTCCATTCTCAATTTGTCCCAACCTCAGGTAACAAAGCAGTTGTGAATTGGCAATATTGTAAAATATTTCTGAGCTGGAGGACCACGTAAATTTAGACCGAAGAGACTTTGCCTGTTTTTAGACATTTTATGTTCGTTTTCAGATTTCAATCTCAAACATTTAGAAATCTCAACGTTTTGTTACCCTTCTTATTTCCGCCGTTGAAAAGCCAGAGGTCTTGAGCTGTTCACATTCTTTATGTAAGCTTTTGAAAGCTTCCATCAGTTCCTCGTACTGCCAAAAAAAGAAAAAGATGATTTTTAATGCCAAAACTATAATCCATTAACTCTGAACACAGTCATGCTTGAGTTATACCCCCCCCCCCAGGGATCCCTGATCTAACCACAGGTGAACAAATTAATAGATGTATGTTGTTTCTTGAAATGACCCATTGTAGAGATCGAACCTTATAAATTAAATCCCAAACCACCTTTGTCCTGAATTTAGAGAACAAAGCGCAGAAAAACAAATGCACACATAATTTTTTTTGCAATTAGATGACATAAAAACATGATTTCTAGTTCCCCCCTAAATAAAATATATACTTTCATGCATAACTGTTATGTATTAATGTATATACCAAATATATACATTAAGACATAACAGAGCAAAATCCTAGGTCTTATCTCAGCAGATGGAAACTTATCAAGCATGACACATTTAAAGAAACCCAAAGAGGTGATTATCCATGCCCTGCCTTTGGTTTAACCTGCCTTATAAGCCACCATGGAATGACTTTTGTGTGTGTGCCTAGCTTTCTTGCAGGAGGGATGAGAAATACATGATCAAGGCTACCTGTCTGTTGGTATCAGCCACTGTGTCGTCCTGAAGGAACTCGGTTGGCACATCAATCTTGATCAGAAAGCGGGCCAGGTAGGCCCTTTTCTTGAGCTCATTGGTCCTCTGAAGGAGCCAATGCAGGACAGGGTGAATGACGGGCTTGCTTCCCGTCACTAAGCCTTGACGGAAGTTGCTCCTGCAATAACGGGAATAAAATCATTCAAAGATTTAAAATAACGGTAGCCAAGAGTTAGTTTCTTGCACAGTTATCAAAAGGCCAGGGGTCAGTTAAATCAGTTAAACTCTGAGGTTTTCAACCTTGTCTGATTCTTCATCAATCAACCTGTCTCCCAATTTTTCTCAGCTTTTTCTACGTTTTCCAAAAAGCGGATAATTTCTATGCTTCCAGGTGTCATCCCCAGCTGCTCTCATAGACTGCCTTGATGAAGGCCCAGCCCATTATCTATTCAGACAAATGCATTAAAATCTCCCTTTTCAGCAGCCGTGTCTGGGAGGTTGCCTGTAAAAGCTGGCCACAGCGCCACGTGCCCGATTTAATTTAGCCCTGGGACCATGCTAAATGCCATCCTCTTCAGATAAACCTGGCAAATTCCCCCACACAGTCATGGCTGCAGTTCAGGGAAATTAACTAATAAGCAGCTACCGGTTTGCCATTAATCAGCTAAATAGGAACTGTCTGTTTTATATTGTAGGCTCTTTGGAGAGAGAAAAAAAAAAAAAGACTGGTGCTTTGTATTAAAACAGCAGCACCCTCTAGTGTCAAGCAGAATGTATAAATGGGGCTGAAAAAAATACAGTATATGCGGCAGCGGTGCAATCCAGCCTGAACAAAAGAAATCCTCGAAGCAACAGTGTTAGTCTGGAAGAGGAATCCAACTGATTTTATTGTGACTTCTTCCCACCTACGTTTTTAAACTTGCTGAGGTGGAAACATAAATGCAAAAACAGATTTCTGAGATTGTCCTTATCCTTACACCCAATTCCTCAGCCCAGTTAAGTCTTCAAAATTAAGATTATCGAATGAAGAGGGATAATGGTGAACTATTATGGGACAGGTAAGCTAGCAAACTGGTGATTCTAGAAGAGATAAGTTTCGTATAAATGTATGTTAACGTATTCAACAACAGCTGAATTTTATAACAACCGTAAGTGTGTTTTGTGAAGAGGGCTGTGTTATTCCTTTGTTTTAAAATGCTTTTTAACAAACTGTAAACTATAGGACTCAGGCAGCATATGCATTTAATACTTTACCTCTACTACTAGTACTTACTACTACTTACAAGTCACTGGTACCTCCTGGAGGTTTGTATTTAAGAATGCCGAGGAGGGTCAACATCCGTTTCGCTGTGTGTTCTGGCAATTCTTCTCTAATGTCAACGATGTGCTGAAAGGTTTAACCACAGCTGAAGTATAACTGACACAATAAACTACATTACTGTGTGCAGCTTAAGAGGATCAAATATAATGAAGGTTAACAGTCTGGGGATGTTCTAGGAAACTTCCAGGAAGTGGAAACCTTAATCACGCCCTCAGATGTGCTTTTTTCCCCCTTCCATGATTGGAGGACGGGCATAGTTAAATTCACGGGATTTCAATGGTCCTTAGGCACGTCTAACTCTCTCAAGGTGAAGAAAAGGGTCTTCATTTCGAGCCAAACCGCTAAGCCAGCCAGATCTTGCCTTTGGTACATCAGCCTTCCCCAACCTGATAGCCTGCAGATAAGTTAGTGAAAACATCCAGCGTTTTGATCAGTCCAGCCTTTGCCAGATCTGGAGGCCGGCTCGGATAAGGCTAGTCTAAATGATCAAGCCATCAGATCGAATTGTAAGTGTAAAGCTGGAAAAAACAAGATTCCCAGGATTGCCAAGTTCAGTGATGGCTGACCATTTTGGGCTCCTGTGCCGAAACGTTCCTCCCGAGCTTCGTTTTAGCTGGCAGAGGGTTGCAGGAAGCCACTGCAGCCGAAAAGGGAGCTTGGGAGCCCATTTTCACTGGCAGAGTGCTCAGCCCACCACAGGCACCACGACACATGGGACGTCGAGGTGGTCATGCTCCCCCCACACCGGCGGTCAAACTCAACCCTGATGTGGCCCTCAATGAAATCGAGTTTCACACCCCTGCTCGGTAAAATGCAGAAAAAAAACCAGGGCGATGGTGAATCTATGGCACCTGTGCCACAGGTGGCACGCAGAGCCATTTGTGTGGGCATGCAAGCCCCAGCCAAACTTACCTGCACTGCGCATGCGCACCTCCCAGCTGATTTCTGGAAATACCGGAAGTGACGAAACAGGCCAGTTTTTCGGCCTCCAAAGGCTGCAGAGGTTTCTTTTGAGCTCCCGGGAGGGCGAAAACAGCCTCAAATGGGCCTAAAATCAGCTGGGAGAGGCACGCGTGTTCAGCGTAGGTAAGAGGGCGGGGGGGGGGGTTACACACGTATGCACAGGGGAGGCAGGGCACATTGCATTGTGGGTGCTGGCACGCACACGCTTTCGGCACACCACAAGAAAAAGGTTCACCATCACTGCGATAAGGCAAGTTTTCCAAGCACCGATTTTTTTCCCCACCTGGTTAAAAGTCTGACGTACCTTGGGATCAATCTCACCCAGAACATCACTCAGTAACTGTAAGAGCTGCGTCGATTCCAGAGAGTCAAAAGTGATTAAGTTGAAATTCTTTTTGAAGGGCTCTTTGTTGAGCTTCTCAACAATGAATTTCAGTTGGTCGCTCATGATGGCGCCTAGAAAAAGGATCTGCAGGAGGGGAAAAGAGAAAGAGGCTGACCAGTTAAGGAAGAAGTCACTGCTCATAGGGGGTTCTCTCAAAAATCCACTAAAACAGCACAAAGCAACAGGAAAAGAGGATGGTGGTGGCAGGACTCTCAAAAGTCCCTGCCTTCCAAATCGGGTATTTCTTCAACCATACCCGACCCCAACTCTGCCAGTCTTCAGAAAGCCAGTTAAGATCTAGCTCTTCCCCCAATTCCCTCATTTGGATGATCTGAAGCATCTTTTAATCTGCTCTCCATTTTACTATGTTATTTTTATTGATTGATTGAATTTCTATGCCACCCATCTCCCCTATAAGGTGACTCTGGGAGGCTTACAAATTAAAGAAATCAGTGAAAAATTAATTAAATTCAATTACATTTTGATTAAACGTTAATTAAAGTTGCTCAAACACCCCCCCCCCCCAACAAAAGACTCTTTAAACACGCCATTAAATGCAGAAAACTATTTCTGCAATGCAAGGGTTGTTTCTCTTCCGTTATATCGGTTGTGAATTTCTTTTCCTCTCTTCCTGGTCGGCCATCTGGATTCCCTTTGTCCATAGTGGGTGGCCGTATCCACCAAGGAAGGATGCTCAGAGGGGGTCTCCCGCATGAGCAGGGGGGTTGGAGTAGATGACCTCCAAGGTCTCTCCCAACCCTATGTTTCATCATCATCATCATCATTATTATTATTATTTAAATTTATCCATCCAGCTCACTTATAAGATTCTATGTCCATCCACAACCTGGCTGGGCACCTTTTGGGGCTGCACCCCTTTCAGGAAAGGCAAAGTTTTCCCCCTCCCCTCCCTCTAATTGTGGACGGGGGTATTTCAACTACTCTACTGACATAGGCGGCAGCCTAAAAAAGGGGTGTTTGGGGGGGATTTAGACCCAAAAAAGGGGGCCCAACCACCTCCTTGCACTGCTTCCCAAACTGGGCCACTGCAAGAAGGGTGGACTACAATTCCCAGAATTCCCCAGCTGTGGGGAATTCTGGGAGCTGTAGTCCACCCCTCTTGCAGTTGGGAACTGCCCTATTTGGGTGAATTTCCCCCTCCCTCCTCAGGAAAATAAAGGACAATTTTCCTTTTTTGCCCCCCCCCCCCCAATTTGGGCCCGAGACTCCTCGGTCCTTCCTGGGCTCCCCCTCAACTGCATCCAGCCCAGCCCCTTCCCATTCAGGCTAAAAGGAAGAGGGTCCCAAATTTTAAGCAGGCCCGCAAAGACCCCCCCCCCCGCTTCCCACCTCTCCTCCCCTCGCGCCCCTTCCCCACCTCGGGAACAGCGCCGGGCCGCCCAGGCCTTTAAGCGACGGTTGCTAGGCGACGGGGCCCAGTTCTGCACACGTGACCAGCATGGCGGCAGAGCGGGAGGGAGGGAGAGAGGCGGGGCTTGTTGAGCGGGGGAAGACACGCCCCTTCCAGGCGATGACGTCTAGAAGGGCGGGACAGGGGCGGGGCAAGGTTCGGTCTCGGGAAGGGGGGGTGGAGGGGAAAGAGCGGCGATCCCACCGCGCCTGCGCGATGCGAGGAAGCGGAAAAGGAAGAAAGTGAAAGAAGAAAAATAGAATTTTCTTAAAAATGAAGAGGAAAGAGACGATTCGGGGGAGGGGGTCGCGGATGGTCTCGCGGACGAATGAACTGGGCCTTCCCCTCCCCCCGACTAGGCCCTCAGGAGGAGTTGGACTACAACGCCCAGAATCCACAGCCCGCTGGAGGAAGGTTTGGGGAGTTACACTGCAATGCATCACCCCCTGGAAGGGGCTGCTCCCCAAGGATGGGGATGCTCAGATGCCTTTGAGTCCCAGCGGGGTGATTTGCACAAATACACAAAAAGACTATAAAGGGCTTGGATAACCTCGGGATGGGAGACCACGAGGAAATCCTGCAAAAGAGAAAGGTGAAGAACCGCCACCTGCCTGCCAAGAAACTATCTGAAGCCATCCTGGTTTGGTTACCAGAAGACCAACAAGCTAGGAATTGGGTTACGGGGTGCAATTTGGGGATTGAAATGAATTAATGAGCCCCTTTCGTTAGGGAAGAACGTGCCTTGCCTTCTTTCCCCTCTCACCTTGGAAGCCTTTCACTTGAGACCTTCAAGAAGAGGTTGGATTGCCCTTTGTCAGAACTGGTGTAGGGTCTCCCGCTTGGGCGGAGGGGTTGGACTAGATGACCTGCAAGGTCCCTTCCAACTTCGATTATCTGTTATCTGTTAAATTAGGATTAGGAAACCTCGGTGAAACTCATTGGGATTTCCCAAATCAAATTGGGCAGAAACCCCCATCGGATCTGGATTCACGCACCCGCTCCCCGGATTTGCAAAGCATTCAAAAGACTTTAGCTGAAATTGGAGAAATTCGTCTCCACCTTCAACAACAAGAAAGTGCAGAATAAAAGGTGTGTCTCAGATAGATAGATAGATAGATAGATAGATAGATAGATAGATAGATAGA